AGTAGTTCCGTAAAAACAATGGTCACGCCTGGGAAAGAATTTCAAGTATCTCATTCTGCTTCTTACCTCGTTTGTTAAAGGTATACACTTGATCAATAGAGAAAGTGTGATCATTTTGATCAATTTTCATTGTTGAAGCATTACGCTCTTCCTCTGCCTTGTCACACACACACACACACTCACACAAATCTTAAGTGTGTCATTTCTTTGCTTTATATTATACCTCAAGCTGCTTAATAGGTGAAGACAAAGAGTTGTTAGTGCTTTTTCGATATTTAACCCATACAAATTTAGTGTTGTTGATTTGTCTTTATAATCTTTACAACTCTTTGGGCCCATATGCAGAGTGAGATAATAATGCTTTCTTTGTACCTTCTCCTTCGTCGAGAGATTTTATATCGAGGGAAATGGGCATGTACTGTACTTCATCATTTGTAAATTTTGATCATAGCATGATCGAACATTTGATCAAACATTTTTTTATAATTTCACAGAACAATTCAACTGTTTATTTCTTGTTTTTTTTTAACAAACGATACACAACATCCACACCATGGAAACTGGGATGTTTTGCTGTTCTAAAGTTTCAAGCTCAGCAAGTTCTATTGATTGCAGCGTTTAGTCATGGTGATTGTTTTCGGAATATGTTCTAGATAGTTCTATAAGTTTAAAGTATTGTTAAGAAACCTTCACAGCTGCGTAGTAACAGCCATCACGTAATTCGATTAAACTTCTCTTAGAACACTATCACTACTACTTACCCACGACCATCTTGTAATTTTCCTCTCTCATGCAGATATGTAATCTCAACTAGGAAAAACATTGAACCACTATTATGGTCATGCTGCATCAGGCTTAAATTTGTGGTCTTTGATCAATGAAATTTTTATACATCTATTTTATTTCACTGAATAAATGCTTGATGCATATGAGCAATGAAGCTTATTTAAAGATGATTTATGCGTTCTTTGCTAAACTTTAGAATGAATTCTTAGACCATTCCACAATTGAAAAAAGAGAATTGGTGGGGCAATTCATCAACCATATTTCCAAATTTAAGTAGTTAATAAATAGAGGGTTTAAAAAACAACAACTGGGACTGCTGTTGCCACCATGCCTATAAAATCATAAACTTATCAATTGTAAGTTATGCCAAGTAACATTTAGGAACACTAGACCCTTTACCCTGAAAAGTAAAACTGGTCCATATGATTACTAGTGGCGAAAAAGAGGATATTTCCCATATCTTGAAATAATCAATATATCGTAATGAGCTAAGTTTCCTGCTTTTACCACAATTTACTCAATTGTTATGCTAAACTGGATGATTATCCAATATAATTATAGTATGATGTTCAACAGAGATTGATATATATATATATATATGAATTTATATGCACCAAACAGTTTATTTAAAAAAAACTATCCGTTCAGTACTTATGATTATTTACACGTATTTCATTACAACTCGTTTTTAATACCTGGATCTTACTCAACAGTGAAGGAACAGTGAGATTGATAGCAGTACATATTTGTACGCGCGATGTATCATGTAGAAAGGCCAATATTTATAGCAACTGGGCATTAAGAGCAACTTACCACCCCTCCGAGTAAAATCTACTAATTCCTGTGTTACTTACAAAAGGTTAGTTGACATATTATTTTATTTTGTGGTCAATATAAAAACCGTAGCCGTGTTACAGTTTCATTAAGAATTTGAGTTGTGAGACAAACCTATGCAAAAGTTTTAACTCTTTTCTTCAGGATATGGTTAGCTTTTGTCAAGAAGTCTGTCAGTGTAGTTGGCTAACCAACTTTTTATTTAGCGAGTGTGTCTACAGTCTGTTATATCAAGGAAACAGTGTGCCTAACGAGTCAGTTTTATATTTAACGAGTACAACTACGATCTACTTAATCCAAAAAACAGCGTATTTCGCAAGCCAACGTTTTATTTAATACGAATACAGTCTACTGCGTCATGGAAAAAGTGTATGTCGCAAACCAACTTTTTATTTAGTATGAATACGGTCTACTGCGTCATGGAAACAATGTATTTCGCGAGATAAATTTTCATTTAACGAGTATGTATATGGTCTGCTAAATCAAGGAAAGAGTATTTTTCACGAGTAAAATTTTTATTTAACACTATCAATATAGTCTACTGCAACAATAAAACGGTGCATTTCGCGATCTGACGTTTTGTTTAAAATATTTCTCTAAAGTCTGCCTTTTCAAGGTTTATTTGAGGTTAAGCACAAAGCTACACAATGGGCTATCTGGGCTCTGCCCACCATGGGTATCGAAACCCGGTTCCTAGCGTTGTACGTCCGCAGACATGCCGCTGTGCCACGCCACTGGGGGGCGTCTTTTCAAGAAAACTTTGTATTTCGCGAATGAGCCTATTTTTATCGAGTAAGATTAGGATCTACTATGTCAAGGAAATTCATGATGAAACAATGAAACTGGGAAAAATACTGCTAATCTATGCTTTGCTGATAACTCATAAACTGCTTTATTTGTTTAAGCTTTTTAGAATAAGCAGTGGCGATATTTCCGAAAATACGACACTGTTATCAAGAAAGAGCAAGAAACCGAAGCCTCATCAACAACAGGCGAGGTAGAGAATAAAAATGAAAAGAAAATCACGACAAACAGTTACCTCCACTCAGAGCAGACATATTGATCGGGCGACGGCGTGTCTTTCGTGCACGTGGCGCGACTGCTACATAACCAGTCGTCTGGCGTTTCGGGTGTGGCACGATCACGTGTTTCCTTCCACTAGTTCTCAGCCTCAGATCCATGCAGCGTAGCGAGTTAGCGTTGCAGCGTATCTGGTATCACCATAACAATGACACATAATTCTCCCAGTTTTTCTCATTGTGCACCAAAAATTTTATCTTCTTATACGGTAAACTAGGAACTAACCTCTTGTTATTTGTTTGTGTCAGCGCAAAACTAAACAATGAATTATGCGTGCTGTGTTCGTTGCTGGTATAGAACCCATATCTCCAAAAATGAAAATATCATTAAACTTCTGACGAGATAGCGTCGTTAAGGTGACAGTAATGGGTTGTTATGAATGCACTTATTGCGCTTTGAACATAATATGGTAAGAACCCACACATGCTAGCCTTTACTGCTAAACAAATAAGTTACAGGAAAGTAAAAAAATAAAAAAAAAGCTTAAGAAATGTAAATGACCATTTATGATAATATTTTAATAAACTTCTTTAGTTTAGTACAGAACACGGTGGAACAAACGCTTGTAAACACTGTCAACAGGCTAGAATTACCTCTGATTCTGAGTGCAATGCCAAGTTTAGCGGGAAATGTTTGCCTTTGACATTCCATATATTTTTCATGGTAATTTCTATAAAGTTTTGTTGTGTTTATCAAAAATTCCTAAACAATTTATTTGTTTCACATGTTAATTTTTTAAGACGTTCTAAGCTACACAACGGTTATCTTTGGGCATAGACATCCCTAATTTTGGGACAGGTTACGGACTTACAAAGCTAAAGTCTAGGGTTAAATTTCTCACGTTGGACAAAGTGTAGGTATCCCGTTACGTAGATCCCCGTCCCACCAAACATGCTCGCTCTTATCAACCGTGGGGGCGTTATAATTTTGGTCAATCCCACTATTCGTTGTTAAAAAAGTAGCCCAAGAGTTGGCGGTGGGTGGTGATGACTAGCTGCCTTCCATCTAATCCTACACTTCTAAATTAGGATCGGCTAGCGCAAATAGCCCTCGTGTAGCTTTACTCGAACTTCTAAACAACCAACCAACCAGCCCATTGTGTAGCTGGGCACTAAAACAATGGCAACAATATTAACCCTAATTTTCAGCTGATTGACTAGGGAAGGCAGTTAAACAACAGCAACCACTGCCTACTCTTGTCTGGGTGAACTGTAAGATTTAACACACTCACAGGGCTCCAAACTGCGCTAGTTTTACGACAATGGGACGCGAATCATGAACGCTAAAGGCTAGGCCATGCCAAGATTTAAAAATAGGAAATGAAAGTCATTGAATTATTTAAGGCAAAAATGGTGATACAATATCAGTAATTAAAGTATCTTGAGAAAAAAATTTAATCATCATTAATCCACCATACCTTAAATTTTGTTTGTTTGTTCGTTATTAAGCACAAAGCTATATAATGGGTTATCTGTGCTGTTCTCACAATGTTTACTGAAACCCAATTTTCAGTGTTATAAGGTCTCAGACTTACCGCTGAGCCACTGAGTAACTTAAACATTTTAGTATTCGGCATGGTTTAGCAGTTAGGGTGCTCGACTTGCAATCTGCGGGTCGCGGGATCAAAACCCGTTGCGAATATGCTCACCCTTTCAGCCATAAGGGTGCTATAATGTAATGACAAAACGTTAACCCAAGGGTTAGTGGGTAGTGTTGACTAGCTGCCTTCCCTCTACTATATCACTTTAAAATTGGGAACGGCTAGCACAGATAATCCTCCAGTAACTTTGTGCTATTTCAAAGAAACAAATAAATAAACGCTTTTGCAGGGCTTGCCTTTGAAATTTCGTATTATAACTAATTTTGGTAGACGTATTTTCAAAAAAAGATCAGTTATAACTTTGTATCATGCAAGGTTTAGTAGTAAATTTATTACTGTTATCAAAAACCTAAATGAACAGAATGTATTTTGTAGAATAACATTTATCTAACTACCTAACACATGGTTTTTCATCCCTTATCAACTCCAGCGATATTCTACATCTTTGAAGCACAAAGCTACATAATGGGCTGTCTGTACTATGATCACCATGGATATCAAAACCTGATTTTTAACGTTATGAGCCCATTGGCTTACCGTTGAGCCACTGAGGGAAGGGGGGAACTGAGCTCTTTGAACTCAACAATTTTCATAAGTTTTATTTGATTATTCGACTCTAAAAATACTCTTTTTAGGCCTAACAAATGTGGTCAAATTATGTTAGTTTGTGGTTTGTTTTGAATTTCGCTTAAAACTACACGAGGGCTATCTGCGCCAGCCGTCCCTAATTTAGCAGTAAAATACCAGAGAGAAGGCAGCTAGTCATCACCACCCACCGCCAACTCTTGGGCTACTCTTTTATCAACGAATAGTGGGATTAACCATCAAATTATAACGCCCCCACTGCTGAAAGAGCGACCATGTGTGATGGGACGGGGATTCGAACCCGCGACTCTCAGATTGCGAAACAAGCGTCTTAACCACCTGGCCTGAAAGTTTTATTTTGACAGTATTTTTTAAGAGATATTTATTAATTACTAGTTAAGTAAGGTCAAAGAGGAACTTTTTCTTTATAATTCGATTTACGTAAACAGTTGATACGTAAAGCAACAAAGGAAAAAGATGGGCTTAAAATTGTAGGTATCATAGTTGAATGAAATATAGTGACAGATCTGATAAATCGTTTATGATGTTACATTCTTTTCACATCATAATTGACGACCACTAGCGTGTACAGTTTGTATGTTTAATATAGACTTAAGAGTAGGACACTATAATGAAAACAAATTACTCATTACTTGCTACTCGTTTCTACAGAAGAAGAAGACAACATCAGGTCCTTAGAGATTAGTTAATGAAAAACGTAGCACTTTATGTTACTACTTACGTTTGCTGCTCTTGTCCTCTCCTACAAAAAAAATTATTGTGATTCCTTATTTTTTAAGTATACGTCTGAAAATTAATTTATTAAGATATTTTATAGCACAACAAAAACTTAATCGTCTATTAAGTATTGTAAATGATACATTGCAATAATTACAATACAAGTGACTTTGCAGAAGTATAACTGCAAGTCTTTCTTCTTATACACAAGAAATGATTTTTTAAGGAAGGCTGTGATACGTACGAAGACATTTTTTGCTTTATTTCTTTTTATATGTTTTTTATAGTTTGACTGAAGAAAAAGCCGTTTATCTACCAGTCAGGATCTCTGTTATGCCTTTTTTTTACACAGTTTGTGCAACCAATTAATCTGATTGCACAATGCGCACTCGCGTAATTAGCGGAATACAAACAAAACTAAGACAGTGCCGATAAAGCTTGTATGAAAGCCATTTTATGAATTGCTTTTTTTAAATCGGTCTTATCCGTTACTCAAACAAAAATCGTGTTTTACACATCGTTTAGACAATCTATATACTTAAAATTTAGAAACTTGAATTTGTTTTGGTTTTATTTAAAAAAAAGAGTACTAATGTTGGTATAGAAGAGAGAGAAGATAAGGAGACGAGTTCGTTTATTTTTCGTGTAAAACTTAGTTGTTGTTAAGCTCATACAGCTACACTATGGGTTATCTGTGCTGTGCCCACTACGGATATCGAAATCCGAATTTTAGCGTCTCAATCCTGTAGCCATACCGCTGAGTCACAGGCAGGCTTACGGAAAGTAACTCGAATACTATATACTTCCATTAAAATTGTAACGCATTATAATACCTCTTTGTTCACAAAAGTAAGATTACTAGAGTAACGAGTTTCTTAAATACGGCGTTACCACCATCTCTGACTGTAGTATATATCCGGCGTTAACTAATCACTTTTTACATAGTTGCAGACAATTATGTGTGTTTATTAGCAAATCTGATAATGTATATTAGTTGATGTGGTGATAGGTAGGAACATTTAAGTCATTATTTCACTACGATAGAATGGGCTGGCAAAACATGAGTATGTGTTGCACGTTAACTTCATGTTATCCGTTTGAAACAAAAATTAGCTTCATGTAACCTGCCTATCACTATCTACGATACTGTCATTTAGTTATCTGTGTCACGTACATAAGTCAACTTGAAATCTACAGTTCTATCATTTAGTTATCTGCTTCACGTGCTTCAGTTAACTCCATGTAACCTGCCCGACACTCAAATCTACGATACTGTCATTTAGTTATCTGCGTCATGTTCAGCTCGTGTTTTTTGCCCAGCACACTGCTATCTGCATTAGTCGGAGCCCAGTACATCTAATCTGCTCGTGTGGAGTTGCATGGAGCATAGAGATTATGGAATCTTAGGTTCCACCCATAAGTATATCATCCCACTGTCCTTGCACTTAAGTAACGTTTGGTTTATTTTGAATTTCGCGCAAAGCTACACGAGGGCTATTTGCGCTAGTCGTCCCTAATTTAGCAGTGAAAGACTAGAGGAAAAGCAGTTAGTCTTCACTACCCACCACCAACTCTTGGGATAGTGGGATTGACTGTCACATTATAACACCCCACGGCTGAAAGGGTGAGCATGTTTGATGGGACGGGGATTTGAACCCGCGACCCTGAGATTGCGAGTCAATCACTCTAAGCGTCTGGCCATGCCGGGCCTACACTTAAGTAACACAGACTATACCAGCTATATATCTGATATCAAACTGATGCCATATCATCAGATATCCACAGGAAATTTCCAGAAAACCAAGTCCTCCATGGAGCAAGCATTTGAAATTTGACACGAACTACAGTCTCTATGTTCACAACTATCCTTGCAAGTGTCAATTCCTTACTCCTCGGCCGACCATTCCAGATCTTTTTTGTTATTTTTTTATAACTGCTGCGTTAAAGAACAGTTCTGAAACATATTACATCAACATAGTGTGTACAACATGACTTCTTCCTAGTGTTTATAACAGTGAACATGTTAGTCTGCAGTGTTTGAAACCACATTTCCTTCCCCTTTTAAGAATGTTCTTTGATGACACTCATCCTTTCAAAACCATGATGTAACCCTATTGGTCTTATTCATAATCTCAAAATTATATTGCTTACTTTTGCAATTTTTTCATTGTATCTAGATTTTATATAATTAATTAAGAAAGAGGAATTTTTACCATATTGTTTTACTGATAATAGTTTGGGAAGAAAGTGTTTAACATACG